ATTTAATTACGCTTTCAGAAAAATGTATTTCATATTTACTAAAAAAATTATTTTTGATATTGGAAAAAAATAATTTTCAAATTATCAGAACATTTTCCCAGTTACCTGCCTCAATCACCCCAGTTTACTTATTCATTACTAAGAATTGTAACGAGCAGGTGATCTAGAATATTCACCTCTTTCAAGAGATACTGAACCGTTCCAAGTTGTCATTTATCCTCCGTCCTTCTACTGTAAGTCTAGAACGAGTTTCCCAACGAGTTGTGTTATACAGCGACAGGGGCTTTTTTATTCTCAATAATTTAGTCACAACAATTGTTTGGGCAATCTACATAGTAATTGTAAAAAGGTTAGGGTGGTCTCTTGTGACTTGCAAGTGGAAACTAAGAGATAAGCTTTCTCTCTTTCAACAGCTTTCTTTTTCAGTCTGGCCTTCTCCGTAAATATGTATGATGTGCACTTTTTTAGAGTTAGTTGATATATTTAATTCTTTTTGAAAACTCATTCTATGTTTATTAAGGGGTTTCAAAGATAACAGAGGTATCAGTGTGTTATTTTTCTCACGGTCTATAGTTCTATATAAACCACTCTCTACGTCATCATCCGCGCACTTCGTTCTACGATACACCCAAACATGTCTGGTTGGGTCGTCTTCGTCGCTCTTGTAGCTGTCATAGGTAACATTTGTTGTAAATTATGTTTGTATCGTCAGAAAACAATGTTGTTTCAGCAATACAAAGCAACGTTCTGTTTCTTTCATGTTGTCTCTTAAGTATGTTTTATGTTTGACTTTTAAAAAATCAACAGTCTAGAAGCTTCGTTTATTTAAAAACAAGGGGAGGGTGGAGGAGAGATCTGATGTGACTTTGGCTGAAAACAAGGTCAAAATGTCTTTTTTTTAGGTTTTTGCTCTGTTGAATATTTGAATCAGCCTGATTATTTTTTATGATGTGCTGTCATCCCAAATTGCTACCACAGATAGAGATACCCAAATTTACTAAAGTTTCTTCACCACCGCAATAGTAACTTTGATAAACATTTCGGTATCTCTTGGTATGGTAGCAATTTGGGAAGACAGCACATCATAAAAATAAACAGGTTGATCAGAAAGGAATAAAGAACAATGGGTAGAGAGACCTAAGTAGCTTTGAATTCCTGGACGCCAGCCACTGACATCGGAATTTCAATTATCGATCGGCAGAAAACTAAATATTTTTTAAAAAGCAAGAACAGGTAGATAAAGAAATTCATTTGTACCAACTGCAGTCAGGTTACTGAACACACAGTGCTATAGGGGGCTCTTGTGGCGTAGAGGGTAAGGTGGTCGCCTTTCTTTCAAAGGTCACGGGTTCGATAGCGACGGAAGATTTTTTTCTCTAAAATTGTCTCCTTTCACCTCCTTTCTTGCTCTCTAGCAATGTTCTGTCTTCAGCTTTCGTCTCCACTTTCTGCCCCCACCCTCTCACCTCCTTGGCCCCCTCCTCTGGGCCCCTGACTCTTTCTGCAGCCTTTCTACAGCTACACCTCTGATCTTCTGGTATGAAAGATCTACAACTAACCTTCTCGGAAAAGGGCGAAAAATCTCGGAAGTACCGTGTGCAAGTTGCGCATGTTAAAGATCCCTTGGTGGTCTATAATCGATAAGAGTAAGCTTCGGCCGCCACCCGGACAAAATTCAAAATTTCCTACCAACTGAAAATGCTGCATATGTCTTTCGCACATATTATGACCTTATGCAGTTGCGAGCGCCGTAAAACACTTACCAAAAAACAACAACAACACAGTACTACAAATGAAAGAGAGAGAGAGAGAGAGAGAGAGAGAGAGAGAGAGAGAGAAAGAGAGAGAGAGAAAGAGAGAGAGAGGGAGAGAGAGAGAGAGAGAATGTTTCATGGAGCAGGTTGTTTCAGCACGTGAGACATGTACTAGTACATTAATATCCCGTCTTGTTGTGGGTGTGCGTGAGTGCACCTAACCTTTTTAACAATTACTGCCATTGAAAACGGCCAGGAGAAATGTATCCCTGCAAGATGAATAAAGATTGTCATTTTCATTGTCATTGTCACATATATGATATCACATCTGGTGCACTTATTTTCGACTTTGGGGGTTTTCTATAAAGTACTTTTTTCAAGGACAACACGCCACGGAAATCCAAAAGATCTAAATTTCTTAGTGCCCTGGAGAATTGAAATTTGATACAGTTACAGTTGATCCACATTTATGGGTAATAGTCTTATGCCAAGTTATCATACGTCAAGATGAATGAGTATTTCTATCAAGTTGGAGGTCTAGAAATCTATTTTCAAGGTTTTTTTACGTTAGAAAAGTCAAAGTCCTGCTATATGCAAAAGAACATCAAATCTAAATAAACAGTAAACTTTCTACCTCAAAGTAAGTCACAGCCTTTTATTCCCATATTGCAAAGTATAATATCTTTACAGGTGTTTGAGATTGCAGGGATAGAAAGACATGTGTATATTTTCAAGATGGCCGCCATCCCCAAGCAAACAAAAGATGTACCAATATTATGTCTTGAACAACATTTCAAACCATTTGACGAATTGGTATTAAGTCTAATTTTACTAAGCACCCCCC